TGGAGAGCCCGCTTTTTTTTTTTTTTTTTTTTTTGGAGAGATTTTCACTGTAGGGCGCGTGCGCTCGCCAGACAGAGAGAGACATAGAGACAGAAAGCGAGAAATCACCCCCCAGGGAGGATGGTCACGCCGCAATCCCTTCTCCTCCATTCTCCTCTCGGGATCTTGGGCACGCACGCACACGCGCCCGGCGTGAGTTTTAAGCCACCGGGTCCGGGACGTGAACCGCGGTCGACTACGTGGGAGTCCAGCGACATAGCCATTACGCTAACTGCTGGTTCCCAGAGACACGTGTTTTGATGCTGGACTTTATACTGATTTGTCCATAACTGCATCTTTCTTATCTGGTTTGTGATTGCTTTCATCCATGTAGGTCTGGTCTGTCCTACTAGACTCTAAGTTTCTCAAAGACTGGAATCAGGTCCCATGTCTGATAAATACCAACAAATATCCAGTATAGCCCTAAGAGAGAGCAGTACTGGACACTCCCAGTGTTATTTTTTTGCACCCAGCTAAATTGACAAAGACTGGGAGTGGATTTCTCGATTTGAAGGGTGTAGGATTAGGGGATGTTTTGTCTTCTTGGTAGTGCTCTGAGAGCTTTGGGACACGGCCACTGTGATTAATACACAGCCAGGGGATCTGCTCTGGAAAAGGTCCTGAAGGCAAAGCAAAGAGGAAGCCCTCAGGGTGGAGCACTGGCACGGCCACAGTCCTGCACAGGTTCTGCTTCCTGGGGTAACAGATGTGGACGTCAGTACTGAGGTGCACGCCACTGCTACAGTCGTCATGGTCTTCTGGCCTGGAATGCCCTGCTCCATCCTCTCCATTCCTCTGAGTGAGTCCTCCCAGGCCTGGACCTGCAGTATGGCCCTGGGACCTCCCCTCTCTCTCGCTGTCCTGCAGGTGTGCTGTGTCCACTCCTTCGGACCTGGCTCTCTCCCCTTACGTTATCGCTTATCTTTTCATCTACCCAGCGTGTGTTCCGGGTCACCTTCCATGCTCTTTTGGTGTAGGGGCTGTGTTTTATTTTCCTTGTTCCCTCTAGGAGCTGGCCCAGGGCATGGCACACTGCGTGTCCTCCTTACCCATCAAGATATGCAGCTCACCCACAGGACATAAGCTTTTCTTCATGGCTACTGATTTTCAAGCTTGTGCTCTCAGATCTTAAGTTTCTAGATGTGACACGTTGCAAGACTAAATGCATAGCTCCTCGGCCAGGTTTGGTGAGATCAGGGAACATCAGGGAACCCAGGTGGACTAGCTCTTGAAAGCATTTTTTTCTAATTAATCTGGACATTTACAAATCATCAGTACAGGGGTCAGCAGAAGGTGTGATGGTTACATGGCCCGACTCCCATCTAGTTGACTGTGGTTCAAGTCTGGACCAGGTGGTTTAAAACTCATGCCAGGCACATATGCGTGTGTGTGTGCCCAAGATCCCAAGAGGAGAATGGAGGAGAAGGGATTACGGCATGGCCCTGCCCCCTAGGGGGTGATTTCTCGCATTCTGTCTCTCTGTTTCTCTCTGGCAAGCGCATGTGTTTTGTAGCAAAAATCTCTAAAAAAAGAAAGAAAGAAAAATCACTGGTGTCCCAATGGCTAAAACGATGCTAAATAAAAATCGGAGATCAATTTGGAAAATGAAGGAAAGTGATATTTAATGAACATTTGCCACAGGGGGCTTCAAAAGTCTATGAAAAAATGGAATTACTATGTTTATTTTGGTTCAAAAAATTGAAATCCATGCATAGTTGTTCCATAACAAGCATTTCCTGATTTTTTGAGGCCCATCCTCACATTTGCTAAGCTGTTTACATATATGAGTGCACTTAAATCTATCTTTCTACTTTGCTATTATTATTTTTTAAGTATATTTACATATCTCTCCCATGAGGAAGAGAGAGAAAGAGAGAGATAGGTCCCCAACAGAGACCCCATGCTGCAATCCACCCCAGCCAAAGCCAGCCCTGGATCATGGGTACACACATACCCAGCCCGTCCAAGGAGGTCTGTGGAACACCATAACCTGGAACCCTCCCCTGTGGCCCACCTCACGGAGCATTGTGTCACCACGGCACTACTGTCTAGCCCTGTTCAGCACATGAATACTGCAGTAATACAGTCATGATCAAATGAGGGTAGTCAGCCTATCCATCACCTCAAATATTTACCATTACTCTGTGATGGGAATGGTCAAGCGTTCTCTCTTTAATCTATTTTGATTTACATAATAAACTGTCAACTATAGTTTTTCTACTTGCACTTAAATTTTTTTTTTTTTTTTTTAGAGAGAGAGATTTTTGCTGTAGGGCCCATGCACTCACCAGAGAAACAGAGAGATAGAGAGACAGAAAGGAAAGGAAGAAATCATGCCCTCCTCCCCAGAGGAATGGCCATGCCTCATTCCCTTCCCCTCCATTCTCAGCTTGGGATTTTGGGCACACATGCACATACGCTCAGTGTGAGTTTTAAACTGCCGAATCCAGGACTTGAACTGTAGTCGACTATGTGGGAGTCCAGCAACGTAACCATTACACCATCTGCTGGCCCCTTGTACTTAATTCTTAAACAACCATTTAGGATTTTATCTCAGAACTTAATCATGATGGTGTTCTTACACAGAGCCAGGTCATAGTAGGCACTACATTGAATTAAATTCCAAAAAATCAAGACTGCATAGCTGTTTTCAAGAGAAGACATTGTGAATACGTACCTCGACAGGATCAAATACCACTGTTGGTGCAGCTATGTTGTTCATTTTTGCAGCTTTTTGGATGATCTTTTCAGCCTCTGTAAACCTTCTCTGGGATATTAGCCACCGGGGAGATTCAGGAATAAACCTAGAAATGATTCATAGTAGTTAATAACTTTTCACAGGAGCAGGGTTTGACACTATTAACCATAAGCTGCTGTCAGATAACTTTGTAATATCTTGGTTTGTCTTTATAAAGATAATTGGGAGGGTGCCCTCGAAAGTTTTCCATTGGGTCATAAGAAAAAATAAATGCACTTTCCAGTTTCACACTTTGAATAAAATTGCAAGACTGAGCACCACTTGTTCTTGGGACCAGGACAAGACCATCGAGGGTGACATTAACTGTGGGCATGTATGAGCTTGGGCAGCTAGAGGAGGTCATCCCAAACTTAAGAGCCAGTGTGGCTCGCAAAGCAAACATAGCCACAGGCTGCAAGCCCCCCAGGAGAAGAAACCTATTGGCATATCCACCCCTAGGAGAATTCCCAGTGCCCCAGAGCTATTGGGTAAAGGAAGGCCAGGGCATCTGTGTTCCTCAAGGTTTCTCTGTGGTCAGAAGAGAAGGTAGGGGCACTACCACCGCCTCCGGGCTGTCCCTGTAGCTTCCAACAGATTTTCCAGTCAGTCAGGACCCCAACTACTTAGGCGGACATGAGTTCTAATTTCTTTTCTTTTTGATTATTGTCTAAAAACTTCATTTTTAAAATGCCATAGTCTATACTGTGGGAGTCCAGCAACGTAACCATTACACCATCTGCTGGCCCCTTGTACTTAATTCTTAAACAACCATTTAGGATTTTATCTCAGAACTTAATCATGATGGTGTTCTTACACAGAGCCAGGTCATAGTAGGCACTACATTGAATTAAATTCCAAAAAATCAAGACTGCATAGCTGTTTTCAAGAGAAGACATTGTGAATACGTACCTCGACAGGATCAAATACCACTGTTGGTGCAGCTATGTTGTTCATTTTTGCAGCTTTTTGGATGATCTTTTCAGCCTCTGTAAACCTTCTCTGGGATATTAGCCACCGGGGAGATTCAGGAATAAACCTAGAAATGATTCATAGTAGTTAATAACTTTTCACAGGAGCAGGGTTTGACACTATTAACCATAAGCTGCTGTCAGATAACTTTGTAATATCTTGGTTTGTCTTTATAAAGATAATTGGGAGGGTGCCCTCGAAAGTTTTCCATTGGGTCATAAGAAAAAATAAATGCACTTTCCAGTTTCACACTTTGAATAAAATTGCAAGACTGAGCACCACTTGTTCTTGGGACCAGGACAAGACCATCGAGGGTGACATTAACTGTGGGCATGTATGAGCTTGGGCAGCTAGAGGAGGTCATCCCAAACTTAAGAGCCAGTGTGGCTCGCAAAGCAAACATAGCCACAGGCTGCAAGCCCCCCAGGAGAAGAAACCTATTGGCATATCCACCCCTAGGAGAATTCCCAGTGCCCCAGAGCTATTGGGTAAAGGAAGGCCAGGGCATCTGTGTTCCTCAAGGTTTCTCTGTGGTCAGAAGAGAAGGTAGGGGCACTACCACCGCCTCCGGGCTGTCCCTGTAGCTTCCAACAGATTTTCCAGTCAGTCAGGACCCCAACTACTTAGGCGGACATGAGTTCTAATTTCTTTTCTTTTTGATTATTGTCTAAAAACTTCATTTTTAAAATGCCATAGTCTATACACATTTATAAGTGATGCTCAAACCGTTGCAAAGGTAGGACTCTTACTCTCTCTGAACTTGTATTTCTCAGACTCTTTTAGCCATTCTCCTGCCTGCTCTTGTTTTCCTTACCTGTCAGTTCTTAGTCATCCTGAAAAATAAGGTCTACGTAGCAGATTCAGAGGCCTCCTCCAATTAACGGGCTCCAAGGCTGTGCTAAGAATTAGCTTTGAGCAAAACGCAGTGGAGCAGAAGCCAAGCTTTGTTTGATTTATTTTCAATAAATGTTCATTTACATAGTCTCATATGATTGCTGTATCGGCACAGAGTCAGAGGTGCCACGCAGCCACTTCCCCTTCACGGATGGCTGAGTGACATCTTTCCCCAGCCAGGTTGTGCTTAGAAATAGCATAACCTTCCTTTTCTTTCTACAGGTTCTGAGGGCCATCAGAGTCCTAATGTTTAGTCAGCTAGAAGTTGCAAAGCTTTCCCCACGTTGCAACAGGGGCTGGCCTTCCAGTCCCACGGACTCCCGCTTCCCCCAACACACACACACACACACACACACACACACACGCACTCCGTTCACACCTGTGGGCGCTTACTCCTAAGCCTCTTACAGGGAGCTTAGGGGATACAGGAAATCCCAAACCACTTGCAGAGGCTCTGTCAGTTTCCTTCCCATTTCTAACCCATGGCCCTCAGTGCCACTGAGCTCTCTACTTTTTCATTTTCTTTCTTTCTTTCTTTCTTTTTTTTTTTTATGCACACAATCTCAAATCTGGCTGATCATTTGAAAAGTCGGAGGAATGGAAGCACGGTTGCAAGTACGGTCTCTCTGCAGATTAACTCAGAGTACACAGGGTGGGTGTGCGGAGTGTGTGTCCCACATGAGGATGAGGCAGCAGCGTCCATGGCAGCTCTAAGCACCTCGTCATCCCAGCCCCCCCGCCGCCCCCCATCGGGATCGATGAGTGCTGCTTCAGAGTCCCACCATCAAGGACAAGTTGTTCAGTTGTTCGGAAGCTATTTTTATAGCAAAATGATAAGATTTTGCATATTCATACTGGCCCCAGGTCATCCTCTGCCTGGGGCAGTACTGTCCCTGGTACAGTGTACACCCAGCCAGGAGCACTCACAGAGCAGCCCAGGGTGACAGAAGAAAGAACTTTCCTTAGGGCAGAGTAAGGCACTCCTTGGGGGCTGGATCTCCTCCGCGGGAACTGTAGGGGGCTGGTGGGTCACAGCTGTGTGACCTGGAGGCAAAGGTCCAATCCCTACTACTGCCTGTGTGGTCAGTCCATCAGGGCCCTTCTAGTCTCTCTCTCTCTCCTCTCCCTCGCTCTCTGAAAGAATCGCACAGGAATAACATATTTTCAAAGAACTGGTCTCAGGCCAAAATGACCATTGGAGTCAGGGAACATAGACATTCATCTACAAAAACGCAGAAAATAACCTTCAAATAATTTCCCTTGTGTGTCGAGAGACCCTCTGCTCACTAGCATATTTTCCAATAAATTCAGTTAGCCACAGGGTTGTGGAGAGAGGAGGGCGGAGGGTGCTATGATAATGATGGTGGTTAGGACCTGTTCTCGAACCCTGGATGCTTCCCTCAGAGGCAGAGCTGTGCAGACAACGCCCTGCCTTTACTAACTGCCCCCACACGGGCTTTCTTATCGCTCAGACTGGAATCCAGAGGGAACTTCCACATCAGGATAGTATCTAACCTTTAAAACCGTATTTCTCAAATCCAGGGAAGTGGGGACGGAGAGTGCTTCCTCTCTCCCCCAACATTCCACCCTCCACCCCACCAGGAATTTGCACCGGTAAACCGCAGCAGTCTTAGAGGTCTTAGGATGACGGCAGTTTGGAGCAGTCTAATCTGAGCTTCTGGTCGGACCAGACAACAAGGGCTACCCGTCAGCCTCTATGGCTGCCAAACGGAGAGATAAAAGGCCTAGACAACTCCCAGCAAGATGTGGCCAAAGGACAGGGCAACAGGAGGTCTATTCTACACTGTGCCTTCCAGAAAATGGCCAAATAAACTTTTATTATGTGTGAACATGTAGAAATCAAGCAGTATAGTAAAACCAGTCACGGCTGAAAGATTTGATTTTGATATAATGAAACCAAACCTAGAAGAATCAACAAGAGAGGGAGACAGAGAACTGGATCTATCAATGGAAGCAATGTTTCCTTTTGTTTAAATAAAAGCAAAGAAATGGGAAATCCCCCCCAATAAAGGACAGGACTGGGACCCAGTGCCATTATTTTCAATCTGTTCTTTCACCTGAAATTTCCCAGGTAATCACTTTGGGGAAGACTGAGTCCAGAAAAACCTCTACATTATTAGTTTCAGAACTGTGGTATCGAAATTGATTTGGGGATCATGAGAAGAGAGATCCCATCTCTAATAACTCACTAAACAAAAGTAACTCTCTCACTCTTCAAGCCAAAGCAGATATGCAGGTACACCTTAGAGGTTCACCATTACGTAAACCGGAAGCCTGGGGATTTCAGGACAGTCAGCCTCCAGATCAGTGGGGTAGGCATAAGCAGAGACAACCCGGCCTGATGGAAAATGTGACATTGTTGCTGCTGCGGGCCCTGTAGTTGGGTCTTCCATGGTTGCTTCAGTAGTGAACACATGTAGACTTTTTGTTGTTGTTGTTTTAACTTGTCATTATCCCCTAAAGAATACAATGTAACTATTTATGTGGCATTTACATTGTGTTAGGTATTATAAATACAGTTGATCAAACAACACAGGTTTAAACTGCCTGGGGCTACTTAAACGTGAAATTTTTTCAATAACTACTGTAAATGTATTTTCTTTTCCTTATGCTTTTTAAAAGAACCTTTTTCTTTCCCTGGCTTACTTTATTATAAGAATACAGTGTATAATGCATATAACATACAAAATATGTGTTAATCGGCTGTTAATGCTGTCAGTAAGGCTTCTCAAGTCAATAGTAGGCTATTAGTAGTTAAATTTGGGGCCATCAGGTGACATGGAAGTTAAGGAGGCTGGATCCCGCATGACCAAACCTGTAGTTCAAGTCCTGGACCCAGCGGCTTTAAAAACATGTAAAAACATATATATGTGTGCCCCAAATCCTGGCAGGACAGTGGAGGAAAAGGAATTATGGTTGAGCCATACCCACTGGAGGGTGATTTCTCACTTTCTCTCTCTCTCTCTCTCTCTCTCCCCATCTCTCTCTGGTGAGTGCACATGCCCTACAGCAAAACTACAATAGGTGAATGAACAAATAAACAAATAACAAGTAGTTTGGGAGGAGTGAAAAGTTGTACATAGATTTCTGACAGCATGAGGGTAGGGAGCTAGTGCATCCATGTTGTTCAGGGGTCAACTGTAATCTGGAGGGGGCCGGCAGGTGGCACGGTAGTTAAGTTGCTGGACTCCCTGTGGCCGACTGTGGTTTGAGTCCCAAACCCGGCAGCTTGAAACTCATGCCGGGAGTGTGTGCATGAGTGTGCGTGGGTGCCCAAAATCCCAAGAGGAGAATGGAAGAGAAGGGATTGTGGTGTGGTCATCCTCCCTGAGGGATGACTTCTCACTTTCTGTCTCTCCTTCTCTGTCTCTCTGGTGAGCGCATGTTAGAAAAAATCTCCCCCCCCAAAAAAAAAAAAAAAAAAAAAAAAGAAGAAGAAGAGTACACGGGAGGCAGTGTATAGGATATATGCAGACGCTGCACCATTTCATATGACACTTGGGCACCAGGAATTACGGTACCCATGCAGGATCCCAGAACCAAAGTCATAGAGATTTTCTACAGAGAAACAAGTGACAGAAGAACAGGAGACAGGGTTAAAAATAACCCAACAATGCCATCTCCACAAACAACAACCAGCAAAGGACAAGAGTGGGGAGAGTCTGGGAAGAGGTTGGAGTCCCTGAGAACAGACTTCGTGGGACAAGGAAGAATCCAGCCCCAGCACACAGGCCCGCCCACAGGCCCACCCACACCAGGCAAAAACTCTCTGGGTTTCAAAGCAGGCCTCAGCAAGTTCTAGACGGGTTTGCAGCCCAGGCTCTCAGTGGCAGGTGTGCCGGCCCGCAGCAGAGGGCCTGTCTGGGAACAAGTCACACTCACCACCACAGTGGGACGCACAGCACCCCTGGCACCGTCAGCGCCAGCAGCAGCATCCGCCAGTCTCTGATGAAGTAAGCAAACAGGGGCAGCAGCATGTAGCCGACTGCAAAAAATGTGCACACTCCTAACGTGGAGAATATAATACGAACTGACTTGCCAAGGATTTCTGTTCCTGTTCAAAACAAGGGAGGAGTCACGTTAGCATCTTAACCCACTGTAATATTGCTTTTTATATCATTGCCTGGCAGGTAGCGTTCAAACTGTAACCACTTAGGACAGGGAAAGGTATCGCCGCATGGCCCAGGCAGGAGTGGTCAGGGTGAGGAAGGCGGGACCTGATCCAGCTGACAGATGAGTTTTCATGAGATTTTCAAGGATGCATATATATACACACACACACACACACACACACATATGTATATGTATATATATGTATGGATGGGTATTCCTTTGAAGCATGCTCACCAAAAAGAGAAAAGTGGAAAAGTACTTCCCATGGGGGACGGCCACACACAATCCCTTCTCTTCCATCTCTCCCTCCTTTTCACATCCACTTGCACCTAGTGTGTTTCTTAAGCCTCCGGGTCTGGGACTCAAACCACACAGTTGGCCATATGGGATCCAGTCACCTTAACTACCATGCCACTGGCTGACCCCTATATTAATTTTTCTAGGGCATCCCGTGTCACAGAAATATCATGCCCACCCCCAAGAGGTAATATCTTCTGAGAATGCCACGCTTCTTTCTTTCTTTTTGAGAGGAAAAATTTTGCCAGGAGGCATGTGCACTCGCCGGGGAGACGGGGACAGAGAGACAGAAAGTGAGAAATCATCCTCAAGGGGGGATGGCCGTGCCACAATCCCTCCTCCTCCATTCTTCTTCTAAGATTTTGGGCTCGAGGTACATGTGCCTGGCGTGAGTTTCAAGCCACTGGGTCCGGGACTTGAACCACAGTTGACTACGTGGGAGTCCAGCGATGTAACCATTACACCATTTGCTGGTACCAAGAGAAGGCCACGTTTCTAAATTAGAGTCCCAGGAAATAAGCAGTGGCTGTTGTGAGGGGCTGGGTGGGGGCATGGTGCTTTTAGCCTCCCCACAGTTCTCGGCTGTGAGTAAACAGACGTTGGCCCATCAGCAAACGGCAGAGTTCACAGTTTGCGAAAGCTCAGGACACCCTAACCTACCCTTGGACCCTGAGAAATGATAGCTAATGGCTTTGGAGGGGCACAGAAACGGCCCGGCCCCT